AGCAGCTGCTTCTAGGGAAGAAACAGACAGACCTTTCTGTTGGGGGCCTTTGGTATACCCAGAATCTGCTCTCAGCAATAAGTTCAAAAGCATAATCTCTGTTTCAGAGCTGTGCTTCATGGCCAGCTCCCATTGGCAAAGCTCACAAAAGGCTGATGTATAAAAGTGGCAATTATTGGAACACGAGAAATACAACTCTAAAGTTGATCAGAGATGGTTGTTGAGGTCACTTAATGAGCATGAGATTAAAACAAGAACTTAAATGGTTTGATGGTTTGTTAGGCCAGTTAATGAGCTGGCATTCATTCAACAAATAGATTGAGTACCAAATATGTGTGTGAGATACACTGGTAATCAAGATAGGCATAGTGCCTGCCTTCATGGATCTGGCAGTCAGGTGAGGAATACAGACAAGCAAATTTTGTGACCATGATAACAAAGGGGGAGACATATGATTGAAACAGAAGGTTCTATTTGAACACATCGGGAAGGGTCTGCCCCAGAGCTGGGTGGGGAACAGGGACGGTTTCCTGGAGGTCGGGATATCTTAGCAGAGAGCTGAGGGATGACTTAGCCAGATGATGTGGGGGAAGCTTGATGGAGGGAGTAAAAGTTTTGGAGACAAGAGAAGGCACGGTAGCGAATTTAGTGGGGCTGTAGTGTGATGTTTGATTGCTATGAGCAGAGGCAAATGGAGATGCAGAAAAGGTAACAGGAGCTGGATGACATGACAGTCTCCACAATAGGTTTACCTCTCTGCGACTGGGTAGATTCTCAAGTCAGTTTAAGAGGAGCTCTGCTGTGCATAAACCTTCATGACTATCCCTTCCATGAAGATCTGGTATGGATAGTGCAGCTAACCTTTTCCTTTGTGGATAACCTTATTCTGGGCTTCTAAGGCTGACACTCCTGGCTATTCCCCAAATCCACCCACAACCCTGGCACTGCCTCTAAAAGACTCAGGCTCTCTTTGGATTGCTTCATAGCTCCCCCATCTGACTTACAAATATGTTTCTCAGGCCTGAGAGGTATTGCAGAGTTGTGGCCAGTCCATCCATGAATTCTTGGGACTTAGCCTTCTTTTCCTATTGTCAATTTTGTGGACATCACTGCACTTTTCTCACAACTTGCAGAGGAGGGGGATGGCAAGAGTTGAGTAATGGTGCAAGGGAGTGTGTGGCAAAAGGTTCCCAAGAGGAGGACAGTGGAGAAAGTGGCTGGAACTAAGGGAGGCCTTCAGGGAAGCAGATGTCAGCTGCATCCTGAGAGCTGAGTGAGATTCATCTAGGATTATAGGGAAGGAAACTCTTTGTGACAGCTGAGTAAATGGAACATCCGTTAAGAAGAGTACATTCTGATTTTAGTTTTGAATGAACTATGAGGTCATAAGTTGCTTTCATTTTTTAACTCTCTTACTTTGGCCATGTAGTATTTGACCAGCTGATTACTCAAAGGGAAAGGGTAATTGAGTAAGAAGTCACTGGTACCTGCAACACTAACGCCTTGACAATTTTGACCATGAACTTGGCACTTTTCTACATCTGCAATCTCATAAACCAATTCCAGTAATAGAAGATAGAACAGACTCCAGGTCTTATGCTCTGATTTCCTCTAGGCATCTTGGCTTAATTGTAGCTTCTCAAATCCAACGATGGCAAGAGATTTTTTATAAGCCTCCTGAATACAGTGTCTATAATTCAAAATTTCAATGAACAAGTTGGCACAACATAAATAATGGCATCTTATAACTGAGTAGTTTCTGAGAGCCAGTGTCAGATGCATGCCATAGCTGTACCAACTTGTTGAGGTGAAACAGTAAGTTACAAAGAAGGCACTTAGAAGACATGCAATATTTGGTAATTCTGAACAGAAGCAGTTGCAGTTAAGTCAGAATGCCCTGAGCTGTGGCCAAAATGTTCTGACCCTGTCATTATTTTAAACCACTGGATGTTCTGATCTTGCTGTTTTGACCTATATCCATGGGAAAAATTTGACTCTATATCTATGGGAAAAAATATTTTTAAGCAGAACTATATAACTATTTTTGTCAAGAAAGAATTTCATGGAGTGAATGCCATTATGTCAATTTAATTTCCTGATTCTCTACCCAACATAATAGTTTCTCTTTTTCATATTACATTTTTATTGTACTAATTTTCTTCCTGTGAAGTCAGTTCTTTTCAATTTAAATTTTACAATGAAGATTTTTATATATATCAAATTTTCTTTTGTTCATACCAATTATCATTGTGCCACTAAGAGGTTTTGTGTGTGCCCATTGTTTTTAATCTGATTATTCCCAGGTCAGATCTTCCTCTTCTAAATTTTACTGTGCACAATTTAAAACATTGCAGCTTACTTTTATTACTTTATGAACGAAATTCATGACTTCGTTGAAAACAATTTTCAATTTATATTATATCTGAAGTAATCCTTGATAAATAACCCTTGATAAAATGTTTTCCTTTACATATTTAGGATTATGTAATTGTTTGGGTTAGTTCTTGTTTATTATTTATTGAACTTTAGAGAGAGAGAGAGGGTAGAGGGAGAGAGAGAGAGAGAGAGATTGAGAAAGAGAGAGAAACATTCATGTGAGAGACACATCAACTGGAGCTAGGGGTGAACTTGCAACCCAGGTATGTGCTTTTGACTGGGCCAACACCCTAACCATTGAGCAACTTGGGCCAGGGCAGGACATCCAAATCTTATTATTTTTACAACCAACAAGCAGACTCTAGATGATCTTATTTTGGTTTTGACCAAGAGCATTGATGCTGACAATTATTTTCCCATGAGATATTACAAAGTGGCCAGTTGTGTGGACTGTTGGAATAACCTCTTTGTGACCAGCTGCTACACTAAACAGGGCCGAGGTCACTAAGTTATTTTACTACCAGCTGGGACTCTCTAACCCATGGCCCAAGAAAGGCAAGAAGGAAAACCAGCAATCACTTACAGTGCCTTTTAAACTAGTTTTAAGTAATTCCCCAGAATTCACATTTTTGTTTAGTAGTTAAAACCATGTTTTGTGTTCCTTTCAGAGTGACTCAGTTAAGACCCTGTGCTCAGCTACTTATCAAAAATTCTAGTCAAAGAAAATATTTTATTGCATTTGAATGTAGCATACCGTTAAGATAGCATACTTTGTATTAGTCCACTTTTCTTTACATTTAAACACGAACAATGGGAAATGTAACTAAAAACTGTGTTTGAGATAAGCTTAGTGAGGAAGGATCCAAAGGGAGCTTTAAGCCTTAGTGAAGACATCCAAGATGGAAAAGAGGGCCTCGCTATTGGATTTCACCACTTCCCATTGCTTTTGCTTGTAAATGCAGATGGCAAACAATATGACTTATAAAATCAAGTTGTTGAAGCAATGTTTAGATCACAGCTTTCCCTCGTAAATAAAGGTCATTTCCTACAACCTTGACTTGAATACTACCCAAATACAGTATCCCCTGGGTCTGAGCATTGGATTAGAGCAGAGCAGCCACTCTGGGAATAATGTACGCACAAGTACTCGGATGACTCATTTCTCTTCAAAGAGGACTGAACCCCTCGACATTACCAGGGTGTCATCAGGATTTCTGCAGGGCACGGCGAATCCTGTGCATGGCCAGGGACACTTGAATGTTGAACAGAATCTCAGAATATATTGAGTGACATTAATTTATTTGACACATAAGTTTTTTGCCCACCCCAGCCTTCCCCTTCCTCCCCCACCTCCCAGCCCCAGCCTTTTTGGTTTGTAAAATTTCACAAGTTGGATCCACAATTCCCATCCTAAATGGGAGGCAGTTTTCTCTCACCAGCACCCTTGTTACCTCTTTGCCCCCAGCTGCTTAGCACTTGCTGCAAAGATAGTGTTGCTGGAACAAGGATGTTGGTAATTTTAAGTTTCTCTGGCTCTTAGCTTGTGACATTATTATCCTGCTCTGTGTCGGTTTCCTTACAGATTTTAGGTTTCTGACATGCCAAGTTTCCCTCTTTGGCTCCTCCTTTGATAAAATGTTGGGGAAAAAAATATTCAAAAGCCTCCAGTTGCTTAGGAAAAGAACCACAAATCTCCTAGATCTTTGGTTTCTGATGAGTCTTAATGAATGAGATATGCATCTTAATCAACATTAAGCTCAATAACATTCTTTTATTGCCTAAAAATGACAGCCTAAATCAGTTCAGCTCTGACCATAATAAAAACCCAAATATCTCACTAAAATAAATACTAACCAGTAGTGTTGAGACTAGGATGAAGCAAGTGAGACACTTGCCTTAGGCACAAAATTTAAGGGGCCGTTAAACAACAACAAAAACCCCCCTCAAAACTGAACAGCTCAATAATCAAGATACATTATATTAAAAAAAAAAAAGAAAGAAAGAAAAAAAAGAAAAAGAAAACTAATGCCAAAGAATCATGTTGAAAAAAAAAATCAAAATTTTAAATAAAGACAAGATCAGTAGCAGCACCTTGTCAAGCCATATTGGAGCCTTAGACAAAAAAGAAAAATCATTAATATTGATTCTGTCTTTATCTAGGATTTTGATTTTTTTATTGCATATTTTTTGCATTAATTTTCATTTATTTAAGTATTGCATGAACACCTTATTTCTCTTGATTGTTGAGCTTTGGGGTAATGCTCCCTTAAATTCTACACCCAAGACGAGTGCCCCAGTTAACCTCATGCCAGTCTAGGTCCTTGCTAACCAGGCCCGCAAAGGTTAGGGTAATACGATGGCAGTATTCTCTGAAAATGTTAAATTTTTTTGGAAAAAATACATTGTGATTAAGTCTAGTGATTATCCTTGGTCTACCAACATCCATAGTTTAGGGTCTGGTTTGGCAGTAGTTTCAATGAGAACGTTTTCCCCAAATCCCCCCAAAATGGAAAAGTGGTCTTCTTGTCAGGTCTATCTGAAGGCATCATATTATGAAAACCCATTAATTTAATTTAATTTTTTTTCTTTTAAAGCTTGCTTGGGGAAGAAAACTCATCCACTCATCAGAAGGTTCTCCTCCCGCGGTAGCTTCCTCGGGCTCTCTCTCTGCTGGCCTTGGCAGGGGACGACCTGTGGGGCTTCTTCCGATTTTCCACCTTGGTCCACCCGCCCTCGCTGCCCTTGCTCTCCTCTTCGCCGGCTCCTCCCGAGTCCGGCTCGGGGTGCAGAGGCATCCCTGGGATGGTCCGGCGCTGGGGGCGGTCGTTGGGGCTTCGCCTGAAGTCAGGGGACTGATGCGCGCCGAGCGCGGACCGGTGGACGCGGTAGAACTTGCTGGCGCTGCGCTCCCTGGACGGCGTGGAGCGCGCGCCCTTCCCGCCGTAGCGCCCCCTGGGGGACGAGCTGAGCGACGCGCTCCCGCGCTGCTCGTACTTGTTCCGGCTTCTGCCCGAGGAGGACGGGGCCCGCTCCGAAGAGCTGTCGCGGGCGAGGCTGGCAAAGCCGCTGTCCCTGGAGTTGAGGTGCAGAGAAGAGAAGTTCCTGGAGAGCCCGTACTGGGTCGGGGAGGAGCTCCTGGACTGGTTTATGGGGGTAATCTGTTGGTACTTAATGGGCACCTGGGTCCGCCTCACGGCAGCAGCGTAGGAATCCTGGTCGTTGAAGTAGGGGAAGAAGGGCGACCCCAGGATGGGGTTGCTCTGGGAGCGCTGTAAACCGGTGTTAGAGGCGATCTGCCGCATGCGCAGGATGTCTAACCACTGGCAGTCGGCATCTGCGGGAGAAAGGGAAGTGAGCATCTCTTAAGTCACAGCAACGCTGCCCTGCCTAATTCCTCGGCCTGTCTCTGGATGATGCAAGCCTGGGATGCTCTCTAAGCTTTACCATTCATAGAAATTCTAGGCTGGGTATAAGGACATTTCCTTTATTATTATAAACTAGAGACCTGGTGCACGAATTTGGCCTAGTCTGCAGGATCAGGCCAAAACCGGCTCTCTGACATCCCCCCACTCTCCTAGGGGGTCCTGGGTTGTGAGAGGGTGCAGGCCAGGCAGAAGGACCCCACTGGTGCACAATCGGAGCTGGAGAGGCACCACAGGAGAACTCCAGGGCATGTCCGGCCCTTCTCCCTCAGTCCGGATCCATCAGACCCCAATAGCAAACTAACCTACCAGTTAGAGCATCTACCCCCTGGTGGTCAGTGCATGTCATAGTGATTGACTGTCTGCTCCCTGGTGGTCAGTGCATGTCATAGCAAGCATTGAGTAGCCTGTAGCACATCATTAGCATATTACGCTTTGATTGGTTGAACAGCTGACTGGCTGACTGGTCACTTAGCATATTAGGCTTTTATTATACAGGGTATGTTTTTTTTTTTTTTTTTAATTAAAGGCCTTTCTTTACACTATATATTTACACTTATATGCTATATGCTTGTCATTGTTCCATATGCTTTATTTATTTTATTTCATTTAATCATCTCACTATTCTTTTCAGGTAAATAAATATTAATAATCTTATTCCATAAAGGAAGGGCAAGTTTGGGAAATAAATAACTGGCCCAAGGCCACTCAGCTACTAATTCGTGGCCCTTCTGCATCTAAATCCCATCTTCTTCCCACTTAGCCTTGTTCTCACTTCTGAAAACACTGTATGAGTGTGTTTGGATGGCAGGGGCATATTTAGAAAACAAAAGCTTTTTCTCAGCGAGCACTTTTAAGTCCTCAAGAACTCTGCAGGTAAAAAGAAATTGGATTCCAACAGGAGACAGCTAGAGATTGTTTGGAAGAAAGACAGTTCGTATCTCCAGAGGAGAGATTCCTGAGGTTCAGGAATAAGAAAATTATTTATTTATTTATTTATTTATTTATTTATTTTGGCATGGAAATGAAGCAAATAGGAAAGGTTAAGGTAAAAGAAAATGGTCAATTAACAAGAACCATTTTGTAGGCTATATTTTAGTAAATAAGCAAGTTTCTCACACCTGGGATCTCTCCTGTCTTCTCCAGGGGCCCGCACTACGTTGCCCACATTCTTGAGTTCCCTGGTGTCCTCCCTGAGCTCCTGGTGGAGCTTCTGACAAAAACAGAGGATGCTCACTTCTCTCTTTGAAGGGTCCTAGGTTCAATTCCCGCCAAGTGCACATGCCCAGGCTGTGGGCGCCATCCCCAATAAGGGGCGTGCAGGAGCCAGTGATCAATGATTCTCTCTCATCATTGATGGTTCTATCTCTCTATCCCTCTTCCTTCCTCTCTGAAATCAATAAAAATATATTAAGAAAAGAAAAGAGAAAATTACAGCAGATGTGGAGAGAGAAGACCCCTACAGATTTCAAGGGTGGGGTGTTGTATGGATCAAAGGTGTTGCATGCATCAAGTGGGATCATGACTATGACAGTCCTACAGAAGTAAAATGTGCCTTGAAATATTGTTTGGAAGGGGAAAATTGTTATAGTAAGAAGTCCTTAAAGGCTTGATAGTATTTGCATGCAACACAAGATTGTTGAATTAGCAAATGAAAGAACGTAGAATTCCTTCTGTAGAGAAGCTAGTGAGGGTCAACACCTACAATGTGAGGTTAATCATGTGTAGAGACAGCATGCCCTAAGAGATGTTTGAAGATGCATTTCTGGCTAAGAAGGTGGGTAAAAACTCAAGGCCCCCCCACTCCCGCCCCATCCCGATGATCAGAATATCTTCTTGTGATCAATTGTGAAAGAAAATAACCCAATCAACTGTGTTGATAGAGGAAGGCAGGTCCAGCATGCTATCCAAGTATTTGTTGGGGAGTTTGGCTTACTGTCCAGGATTCTGGGCCTTCTGGCTGGTGCGTCTGTAAAAATATCAGGGCTGGTTGACAAGCCAGTCCTTATAGTAGAAGACATGTAGCCAGGCCCTCATAACTCTGTGACACTAGCCCTCAGGGTCCTTTGTCTTCATGCCAACAAAACACCTTCTGATATGGCTTTTCAGGTAGATTTTCTTACTAGGGAAGAATGCACTGATCAGAAAACATGCATTTCTGGTTTGTTTGCGGGTATATTTCTCATGATAAAAACTGAATTGCATGGGTTTATGCATCCATGCCCCCCATTTGCTTTTTAGCTTGTCACAGTCCTGTGGAACATAGCTCTGGGCCGTATTTAAGTTTCTGGACCCACCAAGGTGACAGTCAGAACCTCTGATTGATGACTAATTTACCATCAAGTCAGCTGGCCTTCCTCCAGGTTATTTCTAAATTGTTTCTTTATATCATCTATAATTACCATCACCACTATCCATTATATGCATATCATGTTTTCTCTTCCTCTATCCTCTCCTGCCTTTGTTTTCCCACTCCCTCCTTTCCTATGTCCCTTCCTCCCTCCAGTTCTCCTTCCCTCCTTCCTCGTGTCATTCCTATGCTTTGATGTATGTATGCTATTCAGGACTCAGGAAGTTGCCCCAGTGATAGCAGTAGCTTCATAAGAATGTTTGTTGGACATAGAAGATTCATATCCTTATCTACAATTTTGAAAACAAAATATATGTGTGTAGAAATAGATATACTTACTTTCTTTTTAGCAATATAACATTGTCATTATTTTTCATGTTTTATCGTAGTTATCGAAATATTGAAATTTATTATAATATGCTCATATCTGTAAGTCTATAAATGCTATTCAAAACAAATATTCAAAAAATAGAAGAAGGGCCTTAGCTGGTTTGGCTCAGTGGATAGAGTGTCGCCCTGTGGACTGAAAGGTCCCAGGTTTGATTCCAGTCAAGGGCATATGCCCGAGTTGTGGGCTTGGTCCCCAGTGGAGGCTGTGCAGGAGGCAGCCAATCAATGATTCTCTCTCATCATTGATGTTTCTATCTTTCTCTCTCTCTCTCCCTTCATCTCTGAAATTAATAAAAATATATTTAAAAAAATAGAAGGAAATATTATGTTAGAGAGCTATATCTATTCACAGAGTGGCACTTGTCCCTGTCCTGAGGACTTGGTACCTCAGGGTTTAGAGTCTGGTCTAGTGCACGCCTAACTTACTTGAGTTAGACCTGCTTCCAGGATTGCCCTCTGAGTTGGGGAATAGTGTCTGAATGGCAAGTTGGACGGCTTTCACTTCATCCTGAGGCTTCGTTCTATTCCACTGAATGGGATGAACATGCTTAGTGCTTTTGGGAGTTCTAACATCATTCTGTAAAAAAAAAAAAAAAAAAAAATAGTGAAACCCACAACCAAATATACACGTTAATAAAATAGGAAGGAAAGAAAATCAGGTTATCATATCACTTCAGTTTAACTTCTTAGAACACTATAATAAATGCATTAGGTGAAATATTTATAGTTTGCTTAAAGGTGATAATTTGATTAAAAGACACATTTTAACCACTTTATTCCAGATGATAGCACTTTATTCCTTAGTGGAGTATAGTCATTAAAAATATGGCTGTCTTCTCTCAGAATTTATTATATTTGGCCAATCTCAACTTACTTCTTTTTAAATAAGAAATGAAAAAACAATTTCTTCTCTTTATAGTTCTTGAAAGCTGACATTTTGCTGAATAAATAAAAATCTGACCACCATTTTGCCTGCCTGCCTCTGATTAGCAGGGTAACTGGGTGAGTGTGAGTAGTTTGGTGGGACTAATTACCCCACGGAAGGTGCAAGATAACAGATACAAAAGGGAGAGAAGATAGAGTCCATACCAAGAATTTGGAAAAGAAGAGGACACCAGATCAAGACACACCACTTTCTTGTCCCAAAACTTCCCTACTCACCAGGTGTCACGAAGCAGGATTCAGGAGCCTCTCAGGATTCAATAAGGTTACAAAAAGGTGTATAAAGAGCCCCGAAGTGACAGTTACAGATGCCAGTGGCTTTCCAGCTTGGGGTCTGAGAGGAAGGAGGAAGAGGACAGAAGGAGAAGAATCTGGTGTAGTGTGTCTCCTTACTGACTAAGGAAGGCAGAGAAGTCTAGCTAGTGTCACTGTCAGTGTTTCCCAAAGTGTGGTACACATACCCCCAGGAGTACAGGAAGAGTTTGGTGGGGGTACGTGTTACACCGGAGTTTGGTGGGGATATGCACGTGCTTTGCTGAGCCTAATTCTACGTTCTCATGAGTATGAGGGATACTCAGCATTACGAAAATTATAGAAGGGGTACACATATGTCAAAAGTTTGGAAAACACTGGTCTAGATAGTAAAGAGAGGGTTTTCTTCATTGGTGGGGTGGGGACTGGTCAACAGGCTCCAGAATAGTCTAGATTCCAAGTTCCTCAAGACCAGCCAACCATTGTTCTTAGGTTTTGTGTCCTGAAAGCGACACTTTGAAAATTAATGCTATTTCTCAAGCGCCTCATCCTTGGGACTCTATGCACCCTAGCTGGTGAGGATACATAGCTGCTGTAAGTCTATTGGCTTCCAGCACTGGGCCACCCTGGGGCAGGGAACTGGCTACGGTTTGTATTCTAATGTTGAAAAGCCAGACCCAGATGGTTCAGAAGACCATCCTAATGTGCTAGTGCCGTGGTCGGCAAACTGCGGCTCTCGAACCACATGCGGCTCTTTGGCCCCTTGAGTGTGGCTCTTCCACAAAATACCATGGCCTGGGCGAGTCTATTTTGAAGAAGTGGCATTAAAAGAAGTTTAAGTTTAAAAAAAATTTGGCTCTCAAAAGAAATTTCAATCGTTGTCCTGTTGAAATTTGGCTCTGCTGACTAATGAGTTTGCCGACCACTGGGTTAGGGCATGAAGACCACGTGGAGGCTACCTTCCTACAGCTTACTGCTGGAAAGGGAACAAAAGGGACAGCTGAGGATGAGTGGACACTGTGCTTATAGTCAGAGGACCTGGCGGGACTCCACACATAAAGACACGGACAACTCCAAACCTGGGACTACCTTCCATCTCTCCCAGTCTATCATCTTCCTTAGCCACCAAGTGAAGACAATGCTACCTGTCTTTCAGTATTTACACAAGATCGATGAGCTAAAATGTGTCAACTCCTCTTCCAGTGCGTCGGTCATAGTAAATCCTTACTGAATACTCTTGAATGAACGCATGAAATGCACATCATACTGATGGAAGATGCATACTAATATCTCCATGTGTGCCAAGACTTGGGGCTATATATAACTGGCCCCCTCGGCCCTAGTCCCCCAGGGTTTCTCTACTTTGTACGTCCCATCAGCCATGACTTGTTGCTAATTTTCAAAACATAATTAGATTATTTTAAGCACTTGGCTTCCCCACCGTGCTGAGAGTAAATCCAACTCTTCCCTTTGGCCATGAGACTGCATGCTCCAGCCCGCCTACCTCTCTAGCTTTGTCATCACCCTCTGTGCCTCAGAAACTTGTGCTTGCCTTTCCTCTGGTGTTTCTTGCTTCTTCCTCCTCCTCCTCAGAGAAGTGGCCTTCCCTGGTCACACAGTCTCATGTCTGAATCTATGTTCTAGTTAGCACTTATCACTCCCTGACATCACTTATTTATTTGTTACTTATTTATCCTCCATCTCCGCCCTCCCCCACTGGAATATAAAACTCAACAGACTACAGAGTTAGTCTATCTTAATCACAGAACAATACTTGTCAGTAGGCATTTGCTAAATATATGAATTTCAACTTCAATGGTATATTTTTTAGTGTAAGTTATTGTAATTTTCTGTATATAAAATCTATGGAATATGCTTTTGATAATAACACCCCCCCCCACTTCTGGAAGGTAGTTGAAGTTGAGTCGATCCTTGCGAAGAATCACGGATCTACTCTTACCCCTAAACTCTAAGCACTCTGTTTTATTCACTGGCATCCCCAGTACATAACATATTATGTGGCATGTAGGAGGTGCTCACACATTATTAACTGATGAATGAATGAATGAATAAATGACTACCTCAGTCTCTATCTAGGAAAGTGTATCCTATTCTCTTTCCTCCCCAACACTTCGTTGCAGTAATTATATTGATCTTCCCATATTTACATTAGTTCAATAGTTCCTCGTCCAATAAATGTTAAGCACTCCGAGGGAGCAAATAAATTCCTATTGAGATTCCTATTGAGATTACAGCTCCTCGACCCCTCCACCCCACCCCATCCCCGTCCCAAGCTTACCTCATATGTGACGGTACATTCTACAGTCTGATTTTCTGTTATTCCTACAATCCACTTCTCCATTACAAAAGGGGGCTGAAAAATAAAAGTTAGGCCAGCGTAGGGCAATGGTACAGCCTGTTCTGCTACAGCATTTTCCCTTGAGTCACAGTTGGCAAAGGGGGGCATAATGTGAGGTTAGCATGGAAGTTGCACTGTTTCATATGTGATTACTCATAGTACGCTAGTGTATGGGGTTTGGTTTTTATAAGACATCTTTTCATATGTTTACAAACATCCAGTTCTGATCTCCCACAATCTTCTCTTTTCTGATATATCACTCAATCCTATCATTAGGTCATTCATTCATGCTAATATTTTGAAGCATCAGCAGAAAACTTTCTCACAATGAAGAGAAATCCTTAATAATATAAGACTGGGCAGTACCTTCCTTCAGCAGTGGCTGGTTCAGTGGCTACAACAACCTCTCTGCTCTCCCCTATATTAGGCTATTGGCAAAGTTGTGCATGCAAATGAGACGTTGGAGACATTTCCCACTGTATTAAAACAAAGGATCAACAAAGAAGTGTACGCCTTGGATCCTATTTTAATTTTGATGAAAATGGTCATTATTAGAAATTAATCTTTCTTCTCCTCCCCTCAACCTCCCTTCACCCCAGGTGTCTGTGAACTGGATACAAAGCAAATGCAGCTGAGATTTAACTGGGCTAGTGGGTTTTTTGTTTGTTGTTCTTGTTGTTGTTTTGATTAGAATTTTTATCGTTTCTGTTTGTGTTAAAAAAAATTCTACATATTTTGAGTGTTCTGCCCCAATTCTATTTTCCCTAAAAGCCCTACTAATGCTGGCATGTGATTTTTGCAGACAATGTGGTTCATCAGGAATGCATATGTGGCATTATAGCAGAAACACTTGTATTTGATTTAACACCTCCACCCTGGTCCCTCTGCCCTGAACACCTTCCTTCCCTTAGCGGCAATGGCTTGAATCCTAAGTGACACTGAAGCAGTGAACAACTGCTGCAACCAGAGTGCACAGGTAGGAAGGAAAGAAGTACCTGTCCAGTCTTCAAGCTGTCACAGCAATATGGCCCAACAAAATAAACTTGCAACCAGATCATAACCTTTACAGGTAAATAACACCATTGAAACAACTCTATTACTCAGGGAAATCCAACAATGAATTGCAAATCAATCTACTGGATGATCTTGGGAGGGAAGCAATTTTAAATTAAAAGGATATGGGAGTTTAGCAATGTGATGCCTGGGAAGGGAACATATTTGCAAGTCTAATGATGTGACTTTGAAGACTTTGCACTTCTCATTTGGTGAACCCTGGTTTTTCTTTGCTACCAACTCCATTTCCTCCACTAACACCAAACACACACTTACTGGCAAGAGTGTATGAGAATTAATGGCACATGTGAAGTTCAGGGTGACAGTCCTATGGATACCACGACTGTTGCTGACCTTCAACAATTTAAGCCTCATATATATATATTTTCAGTGTGAGTGGGATAGAGTTGAATATTTTCCCCTCAACTTCTTTATTTATTGAGTCTTTTTTTTAAAAAAAAAACCTTTATTGTTGAAAGTATTACAGTTGTCCCTTTTTTTCCCCATTAACCCCTTCTAGCATGGCCTCCCCTCCGCCACCCCAGGCCTTTACCATTCTATTGTCTGTGTCCATGGATTATGCATATATGCATGCAAGTTCTTTGGTTAATCTCTTCCTATCCACCCACCCTTTCTTCCCTCTGAGATTTGACAGTATTTTATTTTATTTTATTTTATTTTATTTTATTTTATTTTATTTTACTTTGAGAAGCTAAGGATTTCTTTAAGTCTTTCTTAAGTGTTTCAATGGACAGGCTGCTACCACTGACCCTAAAGCAGGAACATGCTCTCTGGCCTCTCCAGGGATTCATAGGTGTGAACTTCAAGGAGCTGTGAAGACTTCAGCACATGCCTCGTGACTAAGCTCGTTGCTGCCCTTCAAGAAACTGAGCACAACCAAGAACACCTTCCTCCTCGCAACTTTTCCAAAGTTTAAAATGAGCCAAAATTTGAGGTAAATATTTTCATCTTTAGCATTTTCTTTCCTTTGGTAAATGACAGAATGAGCATAAAGAAATGTAGGAAAAAATTTAAATGACACCTTCTGTAATACTTTTTAGCTCACACAGCATAAGTGGAATTTTAGCAAAAAACTTTTATGATCTCAATCTGCTAAATAAAATGTGCCTTTCAGCAGCCAGCTTGATGCTCAGCTGATGTGAGAGCATCAACAGCACAAAAGCACACTGCTGGGGTATTTTAATGTCTTTGTTTGATATATGTGAATTCATAAAAAGCTTTTAAGCTGTAAATAGACCTTACCTTTGTCATCTTTAAAATCTCTGCATCAGGTAGGTTGGTGTTGAATGTCACGTCTTTGATGTAGGTTATTGCAATTTCATCCCCATCTATCTCCATATACATTTTCCACTTACAGTCCTGGAATTAAAGGCAAAATTACAGAATTTGAGAAAGTGAAAAAAATTTTTTTAGTCTCCATGTTTTATAACACATGAATTATCCTATATAATAAAACCCTAATATGTAAATCGACTGAACTATAGAACCAGTAGCTATGATGTGCACTGACCACCAGGAGGCAGACGTTCAATGAAGGAGCTGTCCCCTGGTGATCAGTGTGCTCCCACAGAGGAAGAACTGCTCAGCCAGAAGCCAGGTTCATGGCTGGCAAGTACAGTGGCAGTGGGGTCCCATCAGGAGTCCTCGACTGGAAGAGGGTGCAGGCCCAGCTGAGAGACCCTCCCTCCCCCAGTGCATGAATGTCATGCACTGGCTCTCTAGTTTTATTTTAAAAATATATTTTATTGATTTTTTTACAGAGAGGAGGAGAGAGGGATAGAGAGCTAGAAACGTCGATGAGAGAGAAACATCGGCCAGCTGCCTCTTGCACACTTCCTACCAGGGATGTGCCCACAACCAATGTACATGCCCTTGACCAGAATTGAACCTGGGACCTTCCAGTCCAACGCTCTATTACTGAGTCAAATCAGTTTCGGCTGGGCCTCTAGTTTTAAATAAAGTATTATTGGAGTGTCTCCCCTCGTCCCTATTTCAATAAAAGGATATGAAGTTAGATCTTTCTACATAGTTAAATAACCCCGTGTGAGAGCAATCTTGAGACATAATTTATCAATGTAACTGTTCTATTATAGGGGTTGCAAACTCCAAATCCTAAAGGGGCCAGGCAGATAATAAAAATGAATAAAGCCAGGCAATTTCATTATGGAGCCTCAAATTGTAATCTTTCAAAATCGACCCATTTAATTTACTTGTTAAGCATTGTAGAAATTTTTTTTTCATTGACACAGAGATGTATTCTTTGCATTTTTTTTTTTTTTTAATATAAGGCCCTCTTAATCTACCTTTTCACTTTTCCAGTATTGATACTATCATGGGTTCAAGGAATAACTCACTTTCCTTTTAACAGGATGGAAGACAATACCACAAATGTGATGATGTATGACAATTGGCCTACTAAGTATTGGGGCGTTATGGGAAGGGCAAGGGGAACAAAAAGGCAACTGTCCTAAAGGAACAACAGCCACCACTCAGCTTCTGTTGATTGTCTCCACGTGGGAATACAAGCCCAGTGTTGCTAAGTTCTTTAATGTCTCATGAAAAACTGGGTATCTGGATTCTTGTGTGAAAACACTTGATTTTTAAAATGATGGCATGTTAAAATTTTCAGGAAAAGAACCATGTAATGATACAGTGCTTTACCAGTCACCAGGGGACTCTAAATTAAAACCACAATTCGATACCACTATACACCTACCAGATGGCTAAGACTGATAACACCTAATGGTGGCCAAGATTTTGAGCTACTGGATTACCAGTAGGAGTGTAAATGGTATAATTATTTTGGAAACAAGTTTTGGCAATTTTTAAAATAAAACTAAATATACACCTATTCTATGACTCACAAAGTCTTTTTTTTTAAAAATATATTTTATTGATTTTGTACAGAGAGGAAGGGAGAGAGTAGAGAGTTAGAAACATCGATGAGAGAGAGTCATTGATCAGCTGCCTCTTGCACACCCCCTACTGGGGATATGCCCGCAACCAAGGTATAATACATGCCCTTGACCGGAATCAAACCTGGGACCTTTCAGTCTGCAGGCCGATGCTCTATCCACTGAGCCAAACCGGTCTCGGCTCACGAAGTCTTTTCCTGGTCATTTACTCGAGACGTGCACAGCATTGTTCTCATGAGAGCCACAGAACGGGAAGCAGGCCAAGTGTTCATCAACAGAAGGGTAAACTTGTATATTCATAGGATGGAATATTACTCAGCAATACCAAGGAACCATTACGAATGCATGTAATGACAAGGATCTATCACACAAACATTACAGTGAGTGAAAGTCTTATACAGAAAGAACATACTAAGAATTCCATGTATATGACTTTCTGGAATAGACCAAACCAATCTTGTGGAAAAAATTCACAAGCGTGATTGCTTCTGCAGATGGGACTGAATGGGAAGGAGCGTGAGGAACTTTCTGGGAATGATAATACTGTACTGATAGGGTTTGGGTTTTATAGGTATATGCATTAAGTAAGCAAATGCATATCGCAGATGTGTACATTTCTCATTAAACTCTAGCATACTGAAATGTTTAGGAGAAAGTGTACTGAAGTCTGTAAATTACTTTGGAATGCATAAAAATAAGGACTGATAGGTAGATACGTGATAAAGCAAGTAGAGTAAAATGTTAAGTTGAAGTGTGGACGTGGGAAATGAGGGTTCACTATAAAATTTTTTCAACTTTGCTGTATGAACAATATAATATGTTGTAGGACAAATACTGTGTGTACAATTAAGAGGAAAAATAAACTCATGTCTTTGCATCAGATTTGACCCCTGGACTATAAATTCACCTTCTTTCTTATATTCTTTGAAGGATTCTGAGAGACTAAGAATAATGTACTGAGCACCTTACATGCTGAAACTAGAAAATGCTCTCATAGCACTAGCCCTGGAATGCTTTCTCAGCAAGCCCAGACAAAGTGATCATGAAAGCGTACTGACAGAAAGGATGCTAAGAACCTGTTGGCTTCACAAGGAAGATGGGGGAGCCTGATGTCTTAGGAAAACTTGCAGAAGAATTGCAGAACCAAAAGGAGCCCAGGCCTGAAGGGAGTTGCCCTCTTTCCCCAGCCACAGGCACAAGAAGGAGAGACAGTGATGGAAAGGTCTATTAAAAAATGTGGAAACCTAGCTCTTGGTAAACATGAGTCAAATTAGTCACTCAGAACTGACAAATCTCTCAGTATTATTTTGTTTTTGTTTTGGAGGCACTGCTACCACGGCAACATGGGCCCAGAGATAACCGGGCAGGATAATGACTCTGGCATCTTGACTGGTCTTCTCTGAAACAGACTCAAGGCAGTGACTGGGATAAAAAGCCTTCGACAAGCTGAGTTTATTTAATTCTGTTTCTCTTACCTGTCAAGTTTTGGAATTAAGTTAGTCTAAGCACAGTCAAAAGACCTGGAACTGTGCGCAAATGTCCGATTCCCTTTGCTTGGCTCTCCCATCTCACAACCCAAGTACTCCTCTATGACCTCATTCCCCAAAGTGCACATGCTCAGAGAAACTCTATGGTGAGAAGGGGCTGACAGGAAGGGACTCACAACTGTGGAATGCTTACTATGCTCATGGCATGTTGCCGGGTACTTATGCAGTTGATGTCAACTTGCTTAGTTGATATCCTTAATAATAGGTAAGAGAGGAAAATGGGCCTCAGATAGAGTAAGGACTTTCCCAAGAGTTTCCCAGCCCATGAGTGGTGGGGGTAGGATGATAACAGCACAAGGCAGACTGGCTCCCAAGTTGGAGGAGATGCCATGGGGAAGGACAGTCGGGAAGGGTGGCAGGGTGGACTCACTGGATGGTGTGGGGAGCCACATGATGCAACCAGCTATTGACAATAGACAGGAGGGAGAAGGACCAGAGAATATTCTGATTATACAACCAAAAATCAAGTGGCCATCGGTCCTGTGCTGGGGCAACTGCTTCTTTGTTTCTGAAAGTCTAAGTTGGAGAAACAAAGATCTACATAATAGCCTTGCAGACCTTCTACTTTATAATTCCCCTTTTCTCTTATCTGAAAGAAAGCCTTTCACCTGAACCATAAAGGGAAATAGCCGCAGAAGCAATAAAAGTATAATCAAGTAGAAGACAAGGGTGGCATTCTCCATTCATTAAAAAGCAGGTACTTCTTGTTACAAAACTGGATGAGAAGAAAAGAGGATATGCATTGTTTATTTGAATGTTTAACTCAATCTGTCAATGCCCTGCTATTATTCTTAGGTATTTTCAGGGCCTTTATGATTTCAACTGTTGTCTGCTTAAGAAAAGTAATCCACAAAGTAATGAAAGTCTTTAACTTTTGCTCAATTTCAAATTACCCTAAGGCATTCCTGGTATTTTTGTTACCCAGTGAGTCATACGGTGTCAATGAGCATTCTCCACACTTTTAGGATTTAAAAAATTATTGGATTCCACAGGACCCAACTCCAGATGGAATATCATGAACGAGTTCTTACCCAATTGATCACTGAAAAGGTTTTCATACAAATAAGATGAATTGAATCATCAGTAATATCACTACAAGTAACAACTCCACATATTTACAAGCCCAATATTGATTTTTACATGCACAATCACTACCTTTTCAGTTCCTTGGTAGTGATAGGGACCGGGTCATGGGAATGAGGGCTCAGTTTTAAAAACCATTCAGTTTAGCCAGGGTGAACTATTGATTTTCCTTGATGTGACAGAAAGGTGGGTATTGATTTTTGAATCGGAAACATCCTAGAGTCATTGAGAATGACTCTCAATTCTGACAAGCAGAAATAAAAAGCAGGTAATTCTGTATTTTTGAGAGAGCCTGTGGGGCCTCAAAGAACTCCCTTTCCAAAACCATTTTACCCATGGTGGTCTGAAGTAACCCTGCTATTCACCCATTTGGGTGAAGATTTTGAGGATTTCTGTTAAAATGGAAACAATACAGGAAAGAATGATACATTAAGCCATTTACTAGGGGAGCAGCAGAAGGGAGAGATAAAAGACCACAAGTCTAACATCCAACTACATGAGTTTGAATCCCCCCAAACTTTTTTCTCTCTCAACCTTAGCAAAGTTATATATTCTATCGGAGCCTTAGTGTTCTTTATTTACTAATGACTGGTTGTGCTGTCTGAGGTTTAAATGAGGTAACGTAAATTAAGTTCCCAGCACAGTGCCAGAGCCAAAATAGGAGCTCAAAGAGGAGCAATTATTATTGTTACCAATATAGATGTCCCCTTTCTTTACCCCAAAGCTCCATTTTGTTATTGGACTGGCTGACCCGTTATCTAGCAGCAATCAAAGAGAATGGGCCTGAAGGTAATAAGGAGTGCTTAGATCTGGG